ATCTGAATATGATAATTAGGTCCATGTTTGATGCGGGAAGATACAGATGAAAAAGATTATCATGTCTATATATGATCCAGACAGACACAACTCAATATTATTTTAAGGTCCATGTATATCCAGATAGACACATCTGAATATGAATATCATGTCAACGTTTGACTTAGACAGACACAGTTTAAGATGATTATCTTGTACATATATGATCCAGATAGACCCAGCTGTAGATGATAATAAGTTCCATGTATGATCCAGATAAACACATCTGAATATGATTATCATGTCAATGTATGATCCAGACAGGCACATCTTAGGATGATTAACATGTCCACGTAAGACCTAAACAGACACAGCTGAAGTTGATTACCATGTCCACGTATGAACCAGACAGACACATCTTGAGATGATTACCAGGTCCATGTATGATCAAGACAGACATTTATGAATATGATTACCATGTCCATGTATGATCCAAATAGACACATCTGATGATGATGATGATGATCATGTCCATGTATGATCCAGATAGACACATCTGAATATGATTATCATGTCCACGTATGATCCAGAAGGACACATCTAAATATGATTATCATGTCCACTTATGATCCTGTCAGACACATCTGAATATGATTATTTTGTCCATGTATGATCCAGACAGACACAGATGAAGTTATTACCATGTTAATATATGATCCAGACAGACACATCTGAAGATGATTAACTTGTCCATATATGATGCGGGTAGATCTTGTCAACGAAACATGCTTACAGATACGACTGAAGCTGACTACCATGTCTACGTTTGATCGAGATAGACACAGCTGAACAGTGTTACCATGTCAACGTAAAATACCAACAGTTACGACTGAAGATGATTACCTTGCCCAAGTATGATGCAGGCAAACACAGCTGAAGATCATTATCATGATCACGTATGATGCCGGCAGACACAGGTGAGGATGATTACCATGTCCACGTATGATGCAGGCAGATACAGCTGAAGATGATTACTTGTTAACGTATGATGCAGGCAGATAAAAGTGAAGCTGACTACCTTTTCCACGTATGATGCAGGCAGATACAGGTGAAGATGATTACCATGCTCACGTATGATGCAGATAGACACAACTGACGATGATAACAATGTCCGTGTATGATGCAGGGAGACACAGCCGACGATGATAAACTTGTCCGCGTATGATGCAGGCAGACACAGATGAAGATGATTACCATGTCCATGTATGATGCAGGCTGACACATGCAGAATCAGATGATTATCCATGTCGACACATCTGGTCACACGGTATGACCTTCTTTCATTTCCTCTCAATATAACTGATTAATACTGGCACAAATGATCTTAATATTTTGCCAAAAATATACTGTGTAGTTTAAAAATAGGAATTTTTAGAAATGAGTTTTCCTTATTCAATATTTAAATCTATGCAAAAATGATTTCGAAAATGTCTAGATTAAAAAACGAACCTAGTAATACAAAGTTAAATGATAATAGCGCTTTCATTCCTGTTGGCAATCAATGGGACTCATCTTAATATGAAACAGTTGTTACCTGTGAATAAGGACGAAGAAAACCAGAGTGTTACATATTTTTTTTGTTTCAAAATTAAATTGATAAACAGTTTTGACCATTACTTAGGCAATCATTGTTTCAAATTAATATAATGATTTTAAATTAATCAAATAACAAACATAACAGCAATTGCCTGCGTGCGTGCGGCCTGAACAATGAATTTCCCCCATTACAAAAAAAAAAAACAAAAAAAAAACATTCGAGTTGCTAGCATAATTTCTGTTAAAAAAAAGTCAGATGAATACGAAAACTCTCCTATATTAGTCATGCTTTTAAACTCGTATTTCTCTGGTTACAATCAACCATTAAATATTATGGGCGCAGCCAATTTATGAAAATAACATGGTATTTGGAATTAAGAGTATGGTTAAACCTGATTGGTCGATGTGTGCAACCGGTATCTGTTATTACTAGACACTTCGAGCTCTGAAAAATAATATATTTTCCTTAGCTCAAACGGAACTGAGAAGTATTTTCTACGCTAGGATGAGACACGTGTTTTAAGTTCAAAATTGATATGCAAGGGAGATTAGTACAAATTACGTTAAGAAAAGCAACGGGAACCTATATTTTTTGGACTAAAAATACTGTCCTAATAAGTTTTCTTTAGTTCTAACACATCTTCGCTAGACAAGGGTTACGATCCAGTTCCCTCCTCTCCATCCTTGGCGGATTAAGCCAATATTTGTGATTACAATGCTGCGCCATCTATCAGTAGTCACGCCCATTTCGACCAGATCATTCTTGACCAATGGCAGCACTTGAACTCTCTTCAGTGTGGAGGGGTAAATATGGTGGTGTTTAGTGTTTACAAATTTCGCAAAGCAGGAACCGAAAATATACGTTGACATTCCAACATTTGCGCGAAAAACGTACCCAGGAGCTTAAATAAGTTAATTAAGAACTTTAAAATTGTCACTTAATATCGTCCTATGTTTAGGGGTAAAAACTTGTCGCGCAATCAGCACGTGGCAATTGCTCATTTACATTTTCTACATTTACACGTGATCATCTTAAAGGCGCTTTTTGATTGGATGCAGCCAGTTACAACTGCAACTAATGGAATTCATTACCTCGTGGATTCTATCTTATCCGACAAGGGTGGAGAGGAGGAGACTGGATCGTATCCCTTGGCTAACGAAGATGATTCTAGCAAGGTTTCGTTCATCTTTCTAAAGCCTGTTCTCCAGAAAGGCTACGTTTGTCGCCTATTGGGAACTGAGTTGTTTTTTGCAATCTATAATGCTGACAAGTTGACATAGAAATTGTACGTATTATTGTCTTAATGCATGCCATTACACTATTTAAAATCAAATTTTTACGATGTTTTCGGAAAAATCCAGAAAAAAAGAAAATCAGAAACATCTGCGAAATACAGAAAACTAAAATTGAAGATCAATACCACTATTAATTTTGTTTATTAGTTAAAAATGAGATTTAGTTTATAGTAAGTTTATTGTAGAAAGAAAACCAAGACAGGTTCAAACAGAAAGATTTTGAAAGCAAGAAAAACATCTGCACGTTATAATCAGCAAGACTTTAGCAGATGACAATACGGATACTAAAAACCCAGGCTAGAAATAAGGCATAGGTACTTTAATTCAGTCCCAGACCCGCGATTTCGCTGGTGTGTTCTAGTATAGAATGATGAATTATCATAAAAAATCTTAAAGTACACACATGAAACTTAAATACGATGAAGAAAGATTTGACGACTTGTTGAATATGGCCCTGGTATGCAAAAACATAATTCAGGGGAAATTGTCCATACTTCTTATACATAGAATATTTTAATATATTCAACTGGTACAATAATATAAATTTGTGATGTTATCTCAAACAAAATTTAATGTCAACACTTGCTTCGAAATAAATTTGCGCAAAAATTTAATTGTTTCCATATAAAGCCTGTTATAAATGAAAATATGAGCAATTAATCTGTTATAAACTAAACGTAACATTCTTTTTAACAACAACTGATCCTTAAGCAAACCAATATGAATCCAGACGCATTCGTAAGCAGTTATACATGCTTATTAATAATTCTTCAATTAACTCTTCTTTCTTTAGCAATTAAATTATGAGTATTTCGGATACATTTTCCACAGTAGATTTTTTTTTTTACATCTAACGTATTTTAATCTGTGTCATTGACGTCAATTCAAGACAGGTCGTTTGCAAAACTCTAAGCGAAGGGACAGTGCTGTTATTGCTGTTTTTCATTTCAAAGTTTCAGTGAGGCTTAAAACATGAAACAAAACCTCATACCATTCTACAAGCTTTGAAGATTACTGGTTTTAACGGAATTATTTGCTAGCTCACGCTACATCTGTACATTGAAATAGTCAGAAATGGGGTAGTATCAACCAATTACAGATTAAATTATGCAATATATTTCCCAGCAATCTCATTGATAAAGATAGAAACAATACAAACATTTAAACAACCACGGGACACATCCATGGCCTTCCCTGGCCGGAACTCATGCTACTGAGATATCGTGGCACCAAATCGCCTTGCACTATGCTCGACGCGCCAGACACTCGATCACCTAAGCTCGACAAAAATCAAGCTTTCGGTGGCCGGGTGTTACCGTTCCTCGTCAGTTTTTATCTTGCGTCGTAACACAGTAAATAGCAACACATAACATACAAATCTATTTGAGTGTAGATTAATCAGTACAAAGATTAATAAAATTGAACAAATAAAATTATAAATTGCCTAACAATGTAATTTTAACACACTATTTAGTATGTACAAAAATAAAAGCAATATTTCGCAAGACAAAATAGCTTCATCGAGCGTGCATCTACCCAGGTGAAATCGGATGCAGATAAGAAACTTTTGCAGCTCATTGTACAGTGAAATTTTGCTGCTTATAAATAAATTCAAAATTTCAATGAAGATCAAGATTATCTATTGTTGAAGTAAGATAAATTTGCAACGTCCATTGGCCAATATTACAGAGATTTTACGGACGATACTACATAATACATTTATTCTTTATCTTTCTTGTATCTTTTCTCGTCTTTTTCATTTAGACCATCAGGTTCTAAAGTATGGAGCTGGTGGATCCAAAAGTTTTATCTTTTCCTTCTCGCCGTGGTGTCCCACTCAGTATTCACTTCTATGATTTGAAAAGTAACATTATCAAAAGAATGTTTCTTTGTGCGAAAATGTCTGGTGAGGGGACAGTTTTTATTGGTTTTGTACCATGATCGATGGTTATTTAGCCGAATATTAAATTTGTCCATTGTTTCTTCCACGTACTGAACGCCACGTAAATACATAAATATGAATATCTATTCATATATATTTTGTTACATAAAAACAAATCAAATTCAATGGGTAATATCTGATTATTTAAAGCAGACAAATATAACTTGTTACAAAGCATTTTACTTACCATAAATTTGTTATAATTCGAGACAGCACTATTCATTTCAAACGCAGCATATAACATTACATAACTTCGGTCAATTGAGTAATGCATGGAAGCGTAAACTCAAACAAAATTTAATGTCAACACTGATTTCGGAATTGATTTGCGCAAAAATTTAATTGTCTCCATCGTTTAATCCATAAAGCATGTTATTCATGTAAACATGACAAATTAATATGTTATAAACTAAATGAAACATTCTTTTAATAATAACTAGTCTTTGAGCAAATAAGACATGAATCCAGACGCATGCGTAAGCAATTATCCATGCTTATCATCAATCTACTCTTTTACTTTTAGCAATTTAGTCATGATTATTTCGGATATATTTTCCGCAGTAGTTTTATACATCAAACTTATTTTAATCTATGTCATTGACGTCGAAAGTCGATAAATTAGATAGACTTTGTTGAGTCAAACATACTATATATTTTTCAATCAAACTGAAATAGTTTTGGAGGGTTATAATTGATTGATGGGGTAGTTTAGTAAAATCCGTCGTATTTTACAAAATATAAGAAGTTTAAACTTTGTTACATAAACTCCAGTTATACAATTTATATTATGTGGTGACGAAGACAGTTTAACGATTCTGCTTTTGTCACCGAATGATATATACACGTAGATGTGTTTGGTGTATTTAATAATACTGAAATTTTAATCGTCTGTCTATAAAACGTGTTAATAAGCAAATAGCTACAAATATGTCAGTTTGTTCCCGCCAAATGTTGCATTCATATATTTCTAATGCAAATTGTGATTAATTCTCTATGTGTGTTTTTTCACACATTAGAAAATATTTTAATGATTATGAATTTATTTCATAACTATTTAATTCATAATTTTCCAGTGTTCACACTTGTATTTATATATGCAATGGAAATTAGACAGGACGATTTTTAAATATCACAACAGGAAATTTAACTTCAATGATAAATACAAATATTACAACCTAAAAGTAGTGTTTGAAAAGTAGAAAACACATTTTGTAACTTTTGTTATTAACAATGCAATATGTTTAGGTCCAAAGTTAAAAAAAAGTGTGAAGTTTATTATTGGCAAAACCTTTCGGAAATTTTAGTTTCAATGCTCTTCAACTTTTTTTGATTCCAGCGTTACTAATTGGTTTTGTAGACGAAACGCGCGTCTGGCTTACAAAAATTTAATCCTGGTATCTATGACGAGTTTATTTATTCCGAGGTGGAAACTGTATGCATAGCTCGATTTTCTTTCTTTCTTTAACTCTTAGGACAATCAGTCAAGAACTCATATTCGTAGAACAAACGTCTCTACCGAAATACTCTTAGTTTTCACAAAAAAACGAGATTAAGAAATGTATAAAAAGCTAAGATTAATTAAAGAGCATGTCCAATTAATGCTATTGTTGTAATTTGTAATAAAAAGGAACCATAACAACTATAAGAGATATTTACCGCAAGGCCATTTTACTGAATACAAATTTTTCATTCATTTTAATTATACATAAATAAATTTTTTGTCGAATGTAGAAATTAGGGGTGTCAGCTCGACGAAGACTTACTAATCGAGTACTCGTTGGCTTTACCGAGGGATACTTGAGTACTCAGTCTATATCTACAAAAATGGACACACAAAATTTATACCCATTCTATTTATTGTGTGTCGTTGTCTAACGACGTTAACGCTCAACATTAATATCTAGGAAAAGTCTAGATAATAGTCCCAGGAATTTTAACCCATAATTAATAGCTCATGTTCTAATTATGTTAACAATAATCTAATCAGTAATTAAATAAACTACTATTTAAAATTCTTTTTGAATGTTTTTTTCCTTTAAAAAACCTAAACAATTGATTTCCTTAATAATCTAATCAATGATTTAATTCACATCTATTAAAAATTCTTCCTTGAAAAATGATTACAAAGTCGAACCAGATCAAACAGCAGTATTTGGTAATCGTAAATGATTAGAACTTGATGCCTTTATCCATTCTCTGAAGGTCACCACAGGGTGCAACGAATTTGTTTTTATTTTGAAATATTATTTTGTCAAATTTTTCTGGGTAAAGACTGCTCCTCAACTTTGTTATTTAACTAACAGTCCTGCAGACGAACATATGATATTTGCTCTTGCGGAACAGATGTGGAGGAATGCCTATTACAGGTTTAGTCAAAAGGGTAAGCATAGGAAAGCTGTTTACGTAAATAGCTCAATTTTTTTCGGGAGAATTTTAAATGACAATGAACACACAGTTTGATACTTATACACGATTTTAAAGAAAATCAACATTCAAAAAGACTTTTTAAAAACTGCGCCTAACTTGGCTCATCATTTAGAGATATGAAACTCATTTCATTAACGGCAGTAAGATCGTTGTTCACCAAATTTCCCAACTGATGATGCAAATCAAAATCGATTTTATTTTATTTATAGGCAAATGAGAAATCCAATAATGGTATATAGTAGAAAGATGTTTTGTACATTTTTATTGTACTTTTAAAGTAAATCATTTGTAAATACATTATATAATATTTCTAAGAATAGAATTCAGAAGATGTGGTATGAGTGCCAATGAGACAACTCTCTATCCAAGTCACAATGTGTAAAAAGTAAACAATTATAGGTCAAAGTACGGCCTTCAACACGGATCCTTGGCTCACACCGAAAGCAAGCTATAAAGGGCCCCAAAATTACTAGTGTAAAACAATTCAAACAGGAAAACCAACGGTCTAATCTATATAAAAAACGAGAAAAGAGAAACACTTAAGAACCACATTAACAAACAACAACTACTGAATCAGGTAAGAAGGTTATAATTTTGAATGCAAATTTTATCACAGAGTGTTTAAGCTGATCTGTTAAGGTGATATTTTGATAACAAGACCCAAGACGTTTTACATATGTAATTCCAAAACTTTTGATAATAACCGTTGATGCAAGTTTCCTTTTGACAAAATTATATGCTGCCGATTCCGTACGCACCAGATTTACGTCATCATTGTCGCATCAAAGATGGTGGCTGCTGAAAGACGATGTAGCGAATTTATATATCGGGCAAAGTTGACCTTAAATTGATTTGGCTTTTATTTTTTAAGTCCTGTTAAATCAGATAGAACTTCACGTGTTTCGGATCTTATACATCAAGGTCTTTCATATTTTGGGCTTTGAACGATCCTGATGAAGATAATTCCGGAAAAGCACTTCGGACGCACACAATTGGTAGTATTACTTTCATTATACAGAAAAGCTTTAAATGTTTTATATATCACATATCTCCTCATTTATACAGGTATTTTAAGATACATCAACGGCTTTCTTTGATTTTTTTTGGCGTTTAGTATTCTTGATGAAGGAAAAGCGCCTTGGACGTATCAAATGTATAAAGTGTTATTTCATTTTCAGCTTCCGAACTTTAAAATGAACTTCTGCGGTAAGAAACAAAAAGGGGATTTTATAAATATATTCTGAGTTTAGTACATGAGAGATGTTAAGGCCCCCTTTACAGAAATTTGAAATTGACTGCAATTTTAAATTAAAGAGTTTTATAACCTCAACCAAAATCTAGACAAAGCAGGCATAGATTAAGCCGGTATTTAGTTATGATATAAGTGCTACGAAGTTATTTCAAAAATCAAAAGCATCCACATAAAGAGCCAACGAGGAGACGAAAAATGTCAGGACTTGAAAAGTAAAACACGTTGCTAGGTGCATCTTCAAGGTATGCATGCATCAGCTGTCATGCGATTCTACAATGATTAACATTATCTTGTGAAAGGAAAAATAAAACCGAAACTATGTAAGAGTGTGTTAGCGGAAATGTTGGAAATGTCAATTAAATCTTCACGTACCTATTGTTAAATCATATTTTCTTTGAACACAAAACATAAAAGATCACGAGAATGTTAATTTCCGATCGATTTATCTGTATCATCAAGGAGATAACATTGATATTACTAATTGCAGCGTTTTCACATGGGATGGCGGTTATTGATTAAACACAATGGATTAATGTTTTATCCGACTTTATGAAGTAAATATATGGGTGTGACCCGTGGTGGCTTAAAGTTTTGTATCATTTCTTCATTTTTCATTGAGATTGTCGAGCAAGTTATTACAATATTTTGTAAATTTTTATTGTCAAATTTAAGTTTCGATACGACTAATTATTAAAATTGTTATACATTTAATCCGAAATACTTTTGATATTAACACACTATTGTGTCTTCTTTTCTTCTACTAACTACGGATTAAGTAACCTTTTGGAATCGTTTTTATCATATACGATTTTCAATTATTAACCGGTTATTAATATTCAATGTGTTTGATTATTCAATAATATTGCCCGGGTAGAAAAGAGAGTTACGTTCAAAAAAGGAATGCACTTTATATAATTAAGTGCTTCAAATCATCTTTTCAATATATCTGTGTTAAAAACAAGTCAAATTGTCGGCGACACTTTTAGAAATCTTCAAATTTCCGATTCATACGTAAAATATCACTGATCGGTAAATATTATGCATTCGCGTGTTGAAAATGCCATCAAAATGAGCTATATTATACACAGTAATAGATATATATGTCTATAATCGACAGGATTCACATTCCTTGACCTTATCGTGTGTTTGAATTCATTAATATGAAAATAAGGAGATGTGGTATGATTGGCTTTTTAAAATAAAGACTGCTAGTTCAACGTAATTATATCATGAAACAAAAGAATGAAACACGTCAAATGTATACAAAATGGTTTAAGTAGAATTTGATTTGCATCGATACAAAATATTAAAATTTAAAGTTTGCTACATTATATTAACAGTGGTTATGAACTATATTAACTATATAAAAGAGATAAAATCATCATTGTTCTTGCTTTTATATGCGCACTACTATTAGAGCAAATTAAGTATATTCTAAAACAGAGGCGAAAGATACCAAAGGAAACTCAAACTCATAAGTCAGAAATAAACTGACAACACCGCGGCTAAAAGAGAAAAAGACCAACAGACAAACAACAGAACACAAAACACAAAACACAACACAGAAAACTAATTTCTGAG